CACACAGCAGGACACACTGCACACCCAGCCGGGGAGGGGGCACCGGGGACACCGGCCCAGGGACAGGGGGGTGGGGACCTGGGACAAGAAGAACCCTGAGCCTCGTGCACACGGTTTCTTTGGACCCCACTGACTGTCACTGGGTGTCAGGGGGTCATGTGAAGGGGCACAAGTCTGCCGGGTGGCTGGGGACTGTCCTTCGTGGGGTCAGGAGGTTCTGAGAGGACCCTCTTGTGCTCTGACCTCCTTCCCCAAGGGGAGTCCAGGGGCAGCTGGATCCAGTCCTAGTCCTGCACTTGGTCAACTGTTCATGTCTAAAGGGTTGTGTGTGAGCAGCCACCTCTTAGAGTAATATAATAAAAAATCGAATCACAGAACGGTTTGGGTGGAAGGGACCTTAAAGCTCACCCAGTTCCAACCCCCTGCCATGGGCAGGGACACCTCCCACTAGACCAGGTTGCTCCAAGCCCCATCCAACCTGCCCTTCAACACTGCCAGGGATGGGGCAGCCACAGCTGCTCTGGGCAACCTGGGCCACGGTCTCACCACCCTCACAGCAAAGAATTTCTTGCTCAAATCTCATCTACCTCTCCCCTCTTGCAGCTTGAAACCATTCCCCCTCATTCCATCACTCCCTGCCCTTGTCAAAACTCCCTCCCCAGCTTTCCTGTAGCCCCTTCAAGTACTGGAAGGTGCTCTAAGGTCTCCCTGGAGCCTTCTCTTCTCCAGGATGAACAACCCCAACTCTCTACACCCATGAGCCACTTATTTCTCTTTGCATTAAAGGCCTCCTGAAACAGGGACATCAGAACTGGCTGATGGTTCAAAATACCTCTAAAAGCTCCTCACAAGAGCAAGATGTTCCTGGTGCCTTCATGAGAGCATCGGGGAGAGTGGGGGGAGAAGGAGCCAGGAAAGCTATTGAAGTTGCTCTCACTTCCATTATACAACAATCTCCAGCATGGTTTAAGGTTGGAAGACCCAGCCTGATGTTCCCAGGAAGGTTTCTTCACCATGGGATTCTTTTGTGTCTGTTTTCCTTTGCTTTCCTGTCCTTGACCCTGCAGGGTGTATTCAGGCAACCTCCTTTCCCCTGGTTGGTTCTGCCAGAGGCTGAACCTGCACCTTGTCCTCCACAAATCACAGTTCTGCACTTGAGGAGCTGCCAGGCAGTGACAAAGCATGTCCCAGACTAAAAATAGAGCCCACATTGGGTATTTGTGGTAAAATCGCCTCCCTTGCCAGGCAGCCTTTCATGGGGATGTGATGTGGTGACAGATGTGTCATCCTCTGGTGAGGTGGTCTGGTAACCCCTGGCCTGCTGCCACCACATTTCATAGACCATGAAGAAGAAGGGTTCCCCACGATGGGGAATCACCTTGCTTGATTTGGTCCTTGGACCATGCATGAATTAAAGACCAGGGGTTTTTCTAAGTGCCAGGGTGGCTGGAAGGACGAGTCTGTCTTGAAAGTCTTGGCCAGAGGAAAGAAAATAAGAGATTTATGTGCAGCACCAGCTTTGATGTGCGGGGGAGCTCCAGGGAGCTTCAAGGACAGGGTTATGGAGCTCCTCCAGCATCTGCAGGGAGGGGGAGGTGATACTGAGGGGCTCAGGCTGGCAGCGAGGAGCTGCAGAGGGGGCTTACAAGAGGGCAAGAAGGCAATAAAAATGCAAAAATGTCCTCATTTGTCACCTAAAATGTTAGATTCTGAGTTGGCCACAGTCCAGAGCCAGAAGCAAAGGAAGATTTGGGATCAGCCACCCTGAGGTGGAAGCTGCAAGCTGAGAGAGCAGGCAGGGGTGCTCCATGAACCCCATCAACCCCCCAAAATCCACCAGAGAGCTCCCCCAATTGGGGTTAAGGTCAAGATACCCACAGACCCCTTTCTGCTGCACAGGCTCAATTGTGGGTCCTGCAGCAGCACTCTGGGTGTCTAAAAGCAATTTCAGGATCAGATCCTGGACCTGCCAGAGGGGAGCACTGGTCTCCACCCAGAGGGGCCCTTCACACAAGAGAGCTCAGACCTCTTGTTTAATTCAGGGATCCACCATATGATGCAGCACCCAGACAAAGCCCTCCCTGGGACACCTCAGCAGCTACATCACGGTTACCATGCAAAGCCCTTCCAGGGAGGTAAATGAAAACTGGTGGAAATGACACCATTAATGAACTTTGTTTTGTACTTCCAGTATATAAATGTCTCTTGGTGGTGGGTCACGATCCGGTATTCGGGTATGTGGCAATTTTAATAAATAAAGGTGATCCCAAATGGTGAAATTACGACACAAACGAGGTCAGATGTCATGCACACAACAAACTTTTATTGCAATAACACAACAAAAGTCCCTAGAGCGGATAGGACAGGCAGGAAAACAGAGACAGGAAAAAGAGGGGAAAGCAGAGAGATAGAGGACAGAAAGCAAGAGCACAGTTACCACCCACGGTTCAGTGATGTCGTCGATGTCGTCGGTGGGGAAGTAGTTCCAGGTGGAGAAGTGCTTACTTGCACCCACAGAGTCCCACATTTTTATACAGTCCTTGCCCACTGCACCCCCACTTCTCTCCCTGCATAGGGAAAAACCCTTCGGATCTTCTCTGTGATAGCAGGGGCAGGTATGATGCCAGGGGCTATGTAGTCTTTGTTTGGCTAATTGATGAGATCAGCCATTACAAAGGAGGAGGTTGAGTCAATTGCCACCACAGGATTAGTTCCTTGCTGTGGAGTTTCGGTCCTAGGAAGTACCTTGAGACTGGCACTCCTTGTCTTGTCCTGCAAAATCGCATCAGCAGGTGTCGTTCAACTCTCAGATGCCTCGGGACAGACAAAAGATATCCTGAGTGCCAAAATCCAAGCTTATCTCTTGGATTGTTCGAGGCAAGCACTGTACATCCTGAATGCCACAGCACTGCTGGCTCAAAAGTAGTTTCTTGAAGGGAGCTCCAGGAAAGCTGGGGAGGGACTTTTGGCAAGGGCAAGGAGTGATGGGATGAGGGGGAACAGTTTCAAGTTGCAAGAGGAGAGATTAAGATGAGAGCTGAGGAAGAAATTCTTTGCTGTGAGGGTGGTGAGACACTGGCCCAGGTTGCCCAGAGCAGCTGTGGCTGCCCCATCCCTGGCAGTGTTGAAGGGCAGGTTGGATGGGGCTTGGAGCAACCTGGTCTAGTGGGAGGGGTCCCTGCCCACAGCAGGGGGGTGGGACTAGATGATCTTTAAGGTCCCTTCCCACCCAAACTGTTCTGTGATTAGATGATTCTTCCTTGTGATTGCTGTACCCATCCTGTCCCTCCTGTAAATGCTACACAATTGAACGTGGCCAAAGAACAAGTCCTAAAAAGCATCCCAGATCTCTCTGAATGCCAGTGATGACCTGAAAGGAGTTGAAAGTCGTTTTAGAAATGCACTGAAACACATGAGGACTTTCCTTGATGTGTCAAACCTGAGCTTTGGAGTGTTGCAGTATTAGTTCCCATCAGCTGGTTCTATCTGGCTAAAATGTACCAGTGGGGGAGTGATGAGGAGGTAAATTTAAAAGGGTTATTTCACTTCAGATGTCAGTGAATGGAAGGGTAAAAAAATCAATAGGAGGATACTAAAAAGCCTCATCTCTGTGTTTCCAGAATAGCAGTTACAAAGAGCCCCTCATTGCTGGGGTAGTCTTGTGTTTTGGATCAGGCATGGGAAGTGGACAGGAGGCTGGCTGTGATCCAGCTGTGAAGGAAGGAGCCCAGGAATGGAGCTGGGGTGGAAGCAGGGTGAGGACACAAGGCTGGTCCTGTCCCCAAGCTGGACCTGCTGTCCCTGCCCATCCCTCCCAGCAGGGCAGGAGATGGAGCTCTGCCTGCAGGGGGGAAGAAGAGGGGTCAGAGGCCCCTCAGGTGTTCCAGGCCAGGTTGGACAGGACTTGGAGCAACCTGGTCTAGTAGGAGGTGTTCCTGCCTGTGGCAAAGGAGTTGGAACTAGATGGTGCTAAGGTTCTAACCCAAACCAGTCTGTGATTCTCCAGCCCTGTGGGCAAAAGGCACAGACTGACACCCAGGGGAATGCTCTTCAGTTAACCTGACGCCTCCCAGGTACTGGCACAGCTCACAAGGGTGCTGGCTGGTGGTCCAAAAGTGCCAGAGTCCTCATGGCTGGTGGTACAACAGGGGCAGAGCCCTGGCTGACAGCATCAGTTACAGACTCTGTCTGTCCTGCCGTGTTTCCCACTTCCAAATTCACAGGAGAAAATATGTCTCCTCAAATAAATTAAGCAGGGTGAAGGCTGCCTCATGCTGGGACAGTCTTACCAGCCCTGGCATGGCTTAACCCAGCCCAACACGGTCTGCAGGGAGCATGAGCCCTCCCAAGGATGGAGGAATCATAGAATCACTGGATGACAGAATGGTTTGGGTGGGATGGGACCTATAAAGACCATCTAGTCAAACCCCTTCCAGTGAGTAGGGACATTTTCAACTAGGTCAGAGACCCATCCAACCTGACCTGCAATCCAGGGATGGAGCATCTCCCACCTCTCTGAGGAACCTGGACCAGTGTCTCACTGCCCTCACTGTGTAAACAATTTCTTCCTTATATCTAGTTCGAATCTTCCCCCTTTTGGTTTAAAACCATTGCCCCTTGTCCCATCACTACAGGCTGTGCTAAAATTTCTGTCCCCTTCTTTCTTTTAGAGCACTTCAAGTACTGAAAGGTGCTCTAAGGTCTCCCTGGAGCCTTCTCTTCTCCAGGCTGAACAAATTAATCTCCCCTTTCTCCTGGCAGTGCACAATATCCTCTCACTGTCCTTCAGTCAGTCACCTGAGAGGAGTTTTCTTCCACCAGTTTCTCTGGTAGCTTCTTGAAACCATGTCAAATTCTGCTGTATGCAGCAGCCCAGGGAGGGGAGCCCTGTGGTTTAGAAGCATTGCCCAATTGGTCTTGCTTTAAACCTGACACATGGTCACCTTCTTTGGTCCTGTTCAGTTCTTTTGAAGGATGAGGCAGTGGACAACCAACCCCATGGATCCTCTGCCCTGTCCCCCTCATCCTCTCTCTTCCAAGCTGATGGGCTCTGGCTTGCATGGTCCTTTCTCACAGGGATGCCATGAGCACCTCCTCCAACTGCTCTGATGCCCTTCCCTGAACCCACTTCTGATCCAGCATCTCACCCTCTCCTGGCCCAGTATCTCACCCTCTGGTGCAGCCACCCCACGCACAGGCAGCACAGGGCGGGTCCTACTGGTGCCTGCTCCCCTTTCCATTCTTTTCCTCACTATTTCTATGGGCTGATTGGCTTTTTTGACCACTGCAAATTACCCACTCCCTGTAAGCCCATGGTCTGGCCGCTGGGTGGTACTGCTGGTCTGGGAGCCCCATATATGATTTTGCAGCACCTTCCCTGGACGGTTTCATGCCATCCACAGGCTCATCACCCCATCTGAGGTCACTGATGACTATGTTGAAGCCCATGTTCTCTTCCATCATTGCAACGCCTCAGAAGTCATCCCAGCCCAGGTGAGAGGGTCCTGGGTGACCCCAAACCACCAGAAGCAGAGCCCAAACTAGGGCAGTGGATCATAGAATCATTGAATACCAGGTTGGGAGGGACCTCAAGGACCATCTGGTCCAACCCAGTGCTGCCTTTCCACCCTGGCAGATGCAGCAGCATGTGCTGGCACAGGGGCAAAGTGGAGACATTTTGCCTGCCAGACGGTGACCCCATCAGACCCATCTAATCCCCTGCCTGTCCTCAATCCCTCCACATCCCATTGATCATCTCAAATGCCAGGAAAAGCTGCATGTTGGGCAGTTGCCCCCTCTCCTTGGATGTCACAGACAAAGAGCATCCTCACCACGCGTGGTGCACGGAATCCGAGGCAGCAGGCTCCTCTTTTATTGCCCCATTGTTCCTCTCCTGGCTGGAAAACCAGGTTTCCATCAAGGGGAGGGTGGAAGAGGCCATCTCTTAGCCTCTGTACTCAAAAAAGCTGTCTCGGTTCTCTCTCTCCTGGGCAGTGACCCTCCTCCCAGCAGGGAAGGTCTGGGCGGTTGGCAGGTTGGCTGGTGACACTCGCCGCATGTTCCAGAGGACCTTGGCGCTGAGCGGTGGGCTGGGGAGAAGGAGAGCACCAGAGGTGGTTACAGAGGTGCAGGCAGGGGTTATGGAGGTGCAGGCAGGGCTCAGTCACAGGGATGTGCTCTAAGTGCATTGGGCACCTGCATCCCTGGCACTGGTCACCCCAGCAGAGCTGCAGACGCAGCTGAGGTTGCAGTGTTGTCCCTCCAAGAGAACCCAGAGAATCAGAACGGTTTAGTTGGAAAAGACCTCATATTCAGCTGCTGTCAACCAACATCCCCAGATCCTTTTCCTTCAGCCACTTCCCAGCCACTCCTCCCCAAGCCTGGAGTGTTGTCTGGGGATGTGGTGGCCACGTTCAGAACTGATGCTGCAAGGGCCAGAAGTGCTCACCTCTTTGTGACCTCCAGGTCAGCAGCCTTTAAATGTCCCTTCTCTCACAAAGCATTTCATGATTCAATTATTTTAGGTGGAAGGAAAGGCAAAGTGCTGAGTTAGTCAGCCTTGAGAGGAGAAGGAAAGGGACATCTTCCAATTGGCTTCAGCTACCTGAGGGCAGTAGCAGACAAGAGAGGCTCTGGAGGATGTAGAGATGCAGGAGGCTGGAGGATGCACTTTGAATTTCAGGTGCACAGTGATAGGAACAGCAATGGGCCTAAGCCACAGGCAGGAAGATCCATCCATCTATTAGGAAAATACCTGATTGATATTTTATCTTGAGCCCTCTGAAGATGATTGGAAGCTTTTTCTCCCCCATATTTTGCATTTCTGCTGAGCCACAGGAACACAGCACTAGAGGGCACCCAGGTATTTCTGCTGGCAGCTGACTTTGGCTGCCTTCCAGCAGCTATCCCAGATAAAACCAGCACAGCACCACAGCTCAGCTCCCATCATGGGCTGGCAATGCTGCAGGTTCATTTTAACCCATTTCTGGTTCAATGTTACCATCCCAGGAGGCCACTGCTGGGTTCAGAGCACAAGGCAAGAGGCAATTTTGGCTGCCAGCTGTAAACTGTGTTGGTTGAGGGCAATGCCCTGATGGTTCCTCTGGTCCTTGGAGGGTTGAACGGGGTGTTTGGGGGCTGGCAGTGCTGTGGGGGTCCATCCAGGAGGGTGGTGGGATACCATGCTGGGCTGTGCCACAGAGCATGACAGCCAGTAGTGCACAGCCCACAGCTATTAAGTTAGATGGTCTCGGTTTTGGGTGAAATAAAATCTGGAAGGTTATTTTTGGAGGATCAGGTGTGGAGCTGGCTCTTCCCCAGACCTCTCTGGTTTCATGGCACCAGCCCAAGCTCTGGGAACTGGGTGCAGCCATTATCCCCAGGGACTGTCTGAAGGGACAGCAGTACTTACATGTCCAGAGGATGAGGAAATTTCACCTCTTCCTTCTTGGGCAGGACAAAGTAGGGAAGGATGTAAAGTGTCCCAGTCTTGTCGTTGTAGAATTTGCGGTGCTGCTGACTCATCTGTAGGCAAAAGCAACAGTCCAGGCTGGGTTCAGTGCTCCAGGTATTTTTTGCACCAGGATTTATTTGCAACAGCCTTCCAGGACTTGAAGGGGCTACAGAAAAGCTGGGGAGGGAGTTTTGAGAAGAGCAGGGAGTGATGGGATGATGGGAAACAGCTTCAAGCTGCAAGAGGGGAGATTGGGATGAGAGCTGAGGAAGAAATTATTTGCTGTGAGGGTGGTGAGACACTGGCCCAGGCTGCCCAGAGCAGCTGTGGCTGCCCCATCCCTGGCAGTGTTGAAGGCCGGGTTGGATGGTTCTTGGTGTAGTGGGAAGTGTCCCACTTCATGTCCCACCATGGCAGGGTGGTTTGGGACTACATGGTCTTTCAGGTCCCTTCCCACCCAACCCAGTCTGGGACTTTGTTATTAATTAAGCACAGCTAGAAAACCATATAATCTAATTTTATGAGTTGCTATAATAGTATTAATTAACCACAAATTACAAAGTCACAGCACACACATAATTATGCGTTAGAGCATTACACTGAGGTCCCTACATCTAAACCCTCCAACCTGATTCCAGACTTTGTATGGTCCTTCCAGTAAGGAACAGGGTGAACGTTGTCAGCAAACTCTGTTCACTCGCATTTTTACAAATCTAAGAATCACTTTTTTCAGTTAACTTTGATGGTATTTTAATGACCTTAAGTCCCCTCCACTGTTCCCCATGTCCTCACCTCGTAAAACCTGCTCAGCTCCTGGGATCGTCCACCATCCAGGTTGCAGTGGGTGTGCAGTGGGATGCGTGAGCTCAGGTCCTGGCCCTCTGCATGCCATGTTGTCCCCATATGGGGACTCTGGAGGTATGTCATGGTCGTGTTCCCACAGGGGTTTCTGAAGGAAAACACTGGGTTTGGGATGTGCCTGCAGTCCCAGCATGGCAAGTGTGGTCAGCAAGGGCCATATCGGGGTTTTCTGAGAGCAGGGTGCTTCCTTCTCCTCCATGGCTCTACAAAGTGCCTTTTAGGAGCCAGTGCCCATGTCTCTGGGTGGACAATGGATTGAGAGCAGCCCTGAGGAGAAGGACTGGACTGAGTGGTGTTGGGTGATGACAAGCTCACCATGAGCCAGCATTGTGTGCTGGAAGCCCAGAAACCAACATGCTGGGCTGCATCCCCAGCAGTGGGACCAGCAGGGCCAGGGAGGGGATTGTCCCCTCTGCTCTGCTCTGGTGAGACCCCCTGCAGTGCTGGGTCCAGTGCTGGGGTCCCCAGCACAAGAAGGACATGGAGCTGTTGCAGTGAGTCCAGAGGAGGCCCCAGAGCTGATGTGAGGGCTGGAGCAGCTCTGCTCTGGTGACAGGCTGGGAGAGGTGGGGTTGTTCAGCTTGGAGAAGGGAAGGCCTTAGAGCACTTTTGAGCACCTTCCAGTACATTTTCACCTTCAGTTGTCTCCTTTCTTAAGCAGCTGTGTTTTCTTTGCCCTGGCAATGAGGGAAAGGGATCAATTTCCTTCTTCTTCCCTTTGACATTCCTTTTCTTCTCCTAGCAGAAAAGTGCTCTGCCCTCAGAGCCAAGGTCTCCTGCCCCAGCTGAAAATGCTGGTTTCAAGTTCATCTCAGACTCCAGCAGAACTAACCCTCATGTGCCTTGGGTGAGCTTTCTTGGCTGAAAGAAGCAGTTCCCACCAGCTTCTGTGAAACAAGGCAGAAGCTGGAGGAAGACTAATGACATATTTCCACACTCTGGGAGTCCTATAAGCTCTCTGGGGAGGCTAAAAGGGCAAATGCAGTTTATTTTTTTAACACTCCTTATTAGTGATATCTCGATGTTCAGCGCAGAGCTTGCAAAAGGAGCTGTTGGAACGAGTCCAGAGGAGGCCACACTTCCAGAGCAGAGCTGCTCCAGCCTCCACATCATCTCCATGATCTTCCCTGGACTTGCTCCAGCAGCTCCAAGTCCTTCTTGTGCTGGGGTCCCCAGCACTGGACCCAGCACTGCAGGGGGTTATCATCAGAGTGGAAAATACCAGAGAAAAAATTTATATATACAATTGTATTTATAAAAATAAATATGTATGTATCAACCTACAATTATAGTTCTGCCTGGACTCCAGCAGCTCAGAAAGCAGCAATGAGAGGTTGTGGTGCAAATTACACACAGAGTCCCACCAGCAAGGATCCCATGGGTTTTGTTGCACCTCCTGGGTGCTTGGGATATGGAGCCTTGGCTCCAGGGCTGGCTTTATACCAGGGTGAAGCTGCCAGGGCCAGGCAGTGCCCACCCAGGTCAAGGGCTGCCTGGTGCAGGGACAACCTCACAGTTTGGATCAGCCCTGGCTGCAGCAGAGCCTTTGCTTACAGGAACAAAAGGAAACATGGAAGAAAACAAGAAAATAGAATCACAGAATCATTAAGGTTGGAAAAGACCTCTAAGATCATCAAGTCCAACCATAAATAGGTGGCGATGGGAGAAGGCTGGGAAGCACAAGATGAAACTCAGGGTGACTCACTTGGGGAAGAGATATTTGGGGTCTGGCAGGAGGAGGAATAGCTCCCAAGGTCCTCTCTGACCCAGGCAGGTGTTCGAGCAGGGTGCACTTGAGAAGGATGCCTCTGTCCAAAGCAATATGCATCATTCATGAGCTATGCATGAGAAGGTGAGAAAATCCACTGCTCTGGCCCCCTGCAACCACCAGTAAGAAAAACAATCCCTGACCTGTGTAAAACAACCCAAGGAAACATGTAGATGTGAGTGTAGGTTGCATGGAGCAGGGTGTGCAGGACCCATGAAGGATGCAGGGGTTTTAGGACAGGGTGCAGGATCCTGGGAAGCAGGTGTGGCCACACTCAGCCCCTACCTGCTGCCCTCCATGTCCAGGCTGTGGAGGGTCCCTGTGCTGCTGTTGCCTCCCAGATCTGCTTAGTTCTGCCTGGGTCACAAACACCATCACCAGGCAACAGTGGGAGCCCAGCACCCCTCTGCATCCCCATGCACCCCCCCCTTCCCCTCCCCAGCACCCTGAGATCCCTATAATATCCAGTACTCACTCTTGAGCATCCCCTGCACCCACCACCTACTGACACTCAGCCCAGATCTCCTGAGGACACCTTGCAGGCACTGATTTACACAGGGAAGTTCACTGGTTTGATCAGCTTTGGCTTTTCCTCTGTCTCAGCAAACCCCTGCACTTGCTTACTCTTCTCAACAGGAACTGCCTCCACAACATCTTTCCCTTATTTCCAGAGACTAACACACATGTGGAGCTGCCCACTGCAGCTCTCAGAGTTATAGGTGATGTTATGGGGCAGCTTCATCCCTCAAAGACTCGCTTGTGCATCCCTAAAATTCATTGAAGTGGAAAAGACCCAACCATGGAGGGACTGAGAATGGCAGAGTCCAGGTGGGGCAGAGCTGGCATCTGACAGATGGAGCCTGGGAGTGGGGTGATCAAAGATGGCAGGGGACAACAGTTGCTCCAAAGCTTTCTCCATTAATTCCTTGGCCATGATTACAGCAGTCATGAGTGAGTTGTGTCCTGTCCCACCTCCCTGGGCTGCATCCCCAGCAGTGGGACCAGCAGGGCCAGGGAGGGGATTGTCCCCTCTGCTCTGCTCTGGTGAGACCCCCTGCAGTGCTGGGTCCAGTGCTGGGGTCCCCAGCACAAGAAGGACATGGAGCTGTTGCAGTGAGTCCAGAGGAGGCCACAGAGCTGATGTGAGGGCTGGAGCAGCTCTGCTCTGGTGACAGGCTGGGAGAGGTGGGGTTGTTCAGCTTGGAGAAGGGAAGGCCTTAGAGCACTTTTGAGCACCTTCCAGTACATTTTCACCTTCAGTTGTCTCCTTTCTTAAGCAGCTGTGTTTTCTTTGCCCTGGCAATGAGGGAAAGGGATCAATTTCCTTCTTCTTCCCTTTGACATTCCTTTTCTTCTCCTAGCAGAAAAGTGCTCTGCCCTCAGAGCCAAGGTCTCCTGCCCCAGCTGAAAATGCTGGTTTCAAGTTCATCTCAGACTCCAGCAGAACTAACCCTCATGTGCCTTGGGTGAGCTTTCTTGGCTGAAAGAAGCAGTTCCCACCAGCTTCTGTGAAACAAGGCAGAAGCTGGAGGAAGACTAATGACATATTTCCACACTCTGGGAGTCCTATAAGCTCTCTGGGGAGGCTAAAAGGGCAAATGCAGTTTATTTTTTTAACACTCCTTATTAGTGATATCTCGATGTTCAGCGCAGAGCTTGCAAAAGGAGCTGTTGGAACGAGTCCAGAGGAGGCCACACTTCCAGAGCAGAGCTGCTCCAGCCTCCACATCATCTCCATGATCTTCCCTGGACTTGCTCCAGCAGCTCCAAGTCCTTCTTGTGCTGGGGTCCCCAGCACTGGACCCAGCACTGCAGGGGGTTATCATCAGAGTGGAAAATACCAGAGAAAAAATTTATATATACAATTGTATTTATAAAAATAAATATGTATGTATCAACCTACAATTATAGTTCTGCCTGGACTCCAGCAGCTCAGAAAGCAGCAATGAGAGGTTGTGGTGCAAATTACACACAGAGTCCCACCAGCAAGGATCCCATGGGTTTTGTTGCACCTCCTGGGTGCTTGGGATATGGAGCCTTGGCTCCAGGGCTGGCTTTATACCAGGGTGAAGCTGCCAGGGCCAGGCAGTGCCCACCCAGGTCAAGGGCTGCCTGGTGCAGGGACAACCTCACAGTTTGGATCAGCCCTGGCTGCAGCAGAGCCTTTGCTTACAGGAACAAAAGGAAACATGGAAGAAAACAAGAAAATAGAATCACAGAATCATTAAGGTTGGAAAAGACCTCTAAGATCATCAAGTCCAACCATAAATAGGTGGCGATGGGAGAAGGCTGGGAAGCACAAGATGAAACTCAAGGTGGCTCACTTGGGGAAGAGATATTTGGGGTCTGGCAGGAGGAGGAATAGCTCCCAAGGTCCTCTCTGACCCAGGCAGGTGTTCGAGCAGGGTGCACTTGAGAAGGATGCCTCTGTCCAAAGCAATATGCATCATTCATGAGCTATGCATGAGAAGGTGAGAAAATCCACTGCTCTGGCCCCCTGCAACCACCAGTAAGAAAAACAATCCCTGACCTGTGTAAAACAACCCAAGGAAACATGTAGATGTGAGTGTAGGTTGCATGGAGCAGGGTGTGCAGGACCCATGAAGGATGCAGGGGTTTTAGGACAGGGTGCAGGATCCTGGGAAGCAGGTGTGGCCACACTCAGCCCCTACCTGCTGCCCTCCATGTCCAGGCTGTGGAGGGTCCCTGTGCTGCTGTTGCCTCCCAGATCTGCTTAGTTCTGCCTGGGTCACAAACACCATCACCAGGCAACAGTGGGAGCCCAGCACCCCTCTGCATCCCCCTGCACCCCCCCCTTCCCCTCCCCAGCACCCTGAGATCCCTATAATATCCAGTACTCACTCTTGAGCATCCCCTGCACCCACCACCTTCTGACACTCAGCCCAGATCTCCTGAGGACACCTTGCAGGCACTGATTTACACAGGGAAGTTCACTGGTTTGATCAGCTTTGGCTTTTCCTCTGTCTCAGCAAACCCCTGCACTTGCTTACTCTTCTCAACAGGAACTGCCTCCACAACATCTTTCCCTTATTTCCAGAGACTAACACACATGTGGAGCTGCCCACTGCAGCTCTCAGAGTTATAGGTGATGTTATGGGGCAGCTTCATCCCTCAAAGACTCGCTTGTGCATCCCTAAAATTCATTGAAGTGGAAAAGACCCAACCATGGAGGGACTGAGAATGGCAGAGTCCAGGTGGGGCAGAGCTGGCATCTGACAGATGGAGCCTGGGAGTGGGGTGATCAAAGATGGCAGGGGACAACAGTTGCTCCAAAGCT